GCGGTAATGTGAACAAAAATGATACAAATAATAGAAAAATAAGGTAATAAATTGAATGAAGTTGAAAATAAACAAGAAGTATGTAATCTTGAATGACAATCAGAATAGAATTATTGCAAAAATTATAATAGTGTTTGGTTTGAAAATATCTTGAGATACTTCAATAATGATTAATGCAAGATGTTGGCAAAAATCTGGAAAATTCTAGAGAACTACATATTCATCATGTAATTCAAAAAATTTTTTATCATGAATATCAAATTGCCTATGCTATTTCACTTCAGTTATAAACTGCTTTGCAAACAATGCTAAGATTTTTGGAGATTTATACCAAAATTTACCAAACATTCATAGAGCCTTTTCAGTCGTTTTCTGATTAAGCTGTCTAAAGCATTTATAAACAGTTAAAATTGTATTTTTCTAACATCGTAATTCCAAATTTACAGTTTTGAATCATGCTTTTTTCTTATGGCTTATAATATAACTTCACTTTTATGATCATTTGTCAACATACATCTAAGTTGTCACTAACTTATTTTAATCTGGACAATATTTTATCATTTTTCTATAAGAATAATTTTTCATTTATTCAATACATCTTCAATTTTATCTTTTATGTTTACTAACATCATTAAGCATGAAGTAGTTCCTTTTCAATGATAACACTAATTGCTATTTAAAAGAAAGAAAATAATAAATACAGGCCAATATCATTGTCTGCATCTATTTGAAATTTTTGAATTGTCTCTCGTTGATCAATGAAAAACAATTCTGTAATATTTTTCAGAATCAAGTTGTGGAATTAAACCTTGATCAAACATACAACTTCCACTTAATCCAGAGTAAAATCTCAAAATTCTGAATCTAAAAAAACCATTTTATAATCACATACTTAAATTTACATCAGATTTTTGTTTCTGAAATTCTGTTTGCTTTCGTTGGATATAAGCCCTTTTCTCTTCAAAGTCCATCTTGATTATACTTATTAAAGTCTGTATTAACTAATAATCTTGACTATACTGCTTCAAAGTCTATAATGATCTACACTTAACTCTAATTTCATAATTTATGCTGATATCAAGATTTTAAATTATGATTTAGTCCAATTACAGAGATAATTCATATTGTTTCACTACTCCATTAATTTAATATTACAGTTAATTTATCCAAAACAGTAATAAATGTGTTACTCCTTACTCTAACTCTCCCAACTCTATTAAAACTGCTTTTTACTAAATGGCCAACTGATTAATAACTTTGATTTTTTTAATGATCTATGAATCATTTTTGATTCAAGACTATTGTTTAAGACTTGTTTAAAAAACCATTTAAAAAATCAGTCCAAATACTTTGGTGAAAAAAATACTTTAATGTTATTGTAAACATGTTTTTTCTTGTCATATATTGAAAGCATTTTTTAAACTCAAGATATCAATATTTCAATATCAAGAATATCAAGATATCAATTCTCAATTATTAGTAGACTATGTTTCAACAATATCTTCAGTATCAATTTTAATTAATATTACTTTATCCCAAAATAAATGCTTGGGCTTTATATCACTTCCATATATCATTTCTGCTAGCAACATTTAACATTGGAGAATAAAGCAAAAGCCAGAGTCTCTAGAATAAGTAGAAAAGGGAGAAGAAAAATTTATTGTCAGATACACAATGAGTATTGTAAGTCAAAATCTAGTTAGACTTTTGCTCCCACTTATTCAATCTACACTCAGTAAGAGAAAAAGAACACTGTAAAAGATATATGATTTTATCTGAAACTACATCTATGCAATATGTATACTATTAAATGATTTACTCAAAATTTTATTTGCTTATTTTTTTACACAGAACATAAGTAAATTGAGAACACAGTGAATATGAAGTAATTTTGTTGACATTGAATTCTTAATTTTTAATGATTTATAATTTAAATATATTTAAATCTTAAATTTAATCTGTTAAACAAAATGACTTAATTCATTTTTTTGCTATCATCTGTTTGTATATGAGCAATAAATATATGAATAAACTCTTAATATTTTATAACATATAATTTAAATATATTAAAATCTTAAATTTAATCTGTTAAACAAAATGACTTAATTCATTTTTTTGCTATCATCTGTTTGTATATGAGCAATAAATATATGAATAAACTCTTAATATTTTATAACAAATAATCTAAATATATCAAATTACTTGTCCTGACATACTGAGTGATTGACTGATTCATCATTGCCCAGAGCAAACCGCTGAACCTAGAGGTGAAATTTGGTACACAGGGTAAGTCATGAAAACGCACACTAAGAAGGGATTTTTGGAAATTCTCCTGTGGGCGGAGAGGGAGAGGATTAAGGCTTAACCTGAAGAACGACTTCTACTATACTATTTTAGATGCATTTTTTTGTTTTCAACTACGTTTAGTCTTTGTTGAGTACTTAGGTGTATTAAATTGATAACATTTCAGACATTGTTATAAATATTTTTATATATTTTGATGTTTTAACCAAATGTTCAAACCGTTTTAAATTCAAATTTGTTATTGCATATTGGTTCGATCACAGAACGATTGTAAACGTTCCAGAAAATTGATCAAATTGAGAATAGTTCATTTGATTCTCAGCAATTCTCATTATTCTCAGCGGTAGGTGTTATATAACAATTACTATGGTTGTTGAAATACTGAATATAAATGGGATTTGCTTGCAAAACCCATGCGGGCAAAGTTGCGGGTAACAGCTAGCTTAATATAAAATATTAAAAAATTTAATACCTTCCAAATCATGATGAGACTCTGGAAGATTCTCATGAACCCATTCTGATCCATGAAATGATTCCATATTTTCAACTTTCAAACTTTGAAGATTAGATGGATGAGCAACAGGAAATGCAGATACTTTATGAGCAAAGGCTACAGGTTCTACATTATTAGCATATTCTTCCATTTCTTGTATAAGAATACCCAATTCTTTAAAAGCCAATCCAAGATCATCAAGATTTGGTTCTGTTCTGCCATCTAAATTTAAAAAGTTTGTTAATAATAATAATAATAATAGTATAGTAGGGTTTTGTTTTATGCAAAATTTAAACTATTGTACTATAAAGTAACAATTAATGATTAAGCACTGATTAAGACAGATAACAACAGGGCTGCAGAGTCAGTAAAAAAACACTTGACTCCAATTCTGAATAATTTTAGTAGGCCAACTCTGACTCCTGACTCTGTTAAAATTAAATACAAGTCATGTCACTAACTTATTTTAATCTGGACAATATTTTANCATTAATATTTATTTGTATAAAAAAATTAATTTTTAACAAATATTTAATAAGAGGAAAGGGGAGCAATAAAATTCTAAATCTACATATTTTTATTCTACAGCTTTTGCACTTCAATTTCACCTTTCCAGAAAAGTTAGTCCAACTAAAAAGTGCACGATCTAGCTACTTCAGCAGCCCCTTGTTCAGAAAAGAAAAATATACACTCTGATCAATTAGTCTGGCTCATCCAGAAAAATAGAGTACTTATTTAGAGCGAGGATAATAAAGGAATGAATCAAAAATATTCAAATTCAATTGGGTCAAAATAATTTAACTACTAAACACAAATACTACAAAGAAAACTATTGATACATATTTAATAAATTAAATTGTTGCATTTTGTATTTAAAATAAATAAATTATAACAAAATATACAAAAACATTTTAAAAAATTAATAAATATAAAATAAATTTTTTATTTAAATAAAATTTAAAATGCTAGCATCAGAGTTGACACATTCTTCCAGACTCTGACTCCACAGCCCTGGATAACAATAACTGATAACAACTATGTTACCAGCTACATATTAACGTTAATAGCACAAAAATACAGCTTAAAAAAAAGATAAGGATAACTATAATGGAAACTCTGATTATATAATAATGTTTTGTAAGTTTATTTTAACTTATATGTCTAAACACAAAAATTCTGATAACATTAGACAATTGAAAACAATATCCGTGATTAGAATAAGTACTGTACTGTTGTATTAGCTTAAGAGCAATCCTGAAAATTTTAAAATTTTTCTGAATTTATTATTTTATCATTATTCAGTTCTATTGTAATTATTCTATTCAAACAAAAACATCTGAGATGTAAAAAATTTTGCCAAGTAAAACCTTATGACAATTTAGATGACAGTCAAAATTCTTTTTAGGAGTTTTCCTTTGGTAAAGATAAGCTTGGTGTAGGAAGTGAAATGTAAAAAAGAATAATACAAGTAAAAATCTTGTAGGTATTGCTTCCAAGCACCAAGCTTATTTTTACCAAAGGAAAGCTCCTAAAAAACATTTTGACTGTCATCTAAATTGTTGTGAGTTTTTACTTGGCAAAATTTTTTTACGCCTCATGTTTTTCTTTGGATATCAATTGTTTTTGTTTAATAACTGTATTATTATATCAAGACATATGATGATGACATACAATTTGGTCAGCAATTGCTGAGCACCAACTAAACACATTGCGGACCAAATGCACTGCCAACTGAATGCTTTCAATACGTCATTTAGAAAAATTATTATAAAAAGTTTTAATTCACATAAATTTGAGCTTTCGTTATTCTGATTAACATTTTGAATAAAAGTCATTTGTTTCAATGCAATTTTATCTTTATAAGAATAAAAATTAAGCCATAAAACTGAATTAGCTCTATGGGAAACCCTGTGAACTTTGACCTATCGACCCAGAAGTTTCATGAGCACCTCACTAATAACAAGAAAGGCTTAAGTTTAAAATTTGAGATGTGTAGACCCAGTAGTTTTTTCCTCTATGAGCATCTGCAGTGCTAGATGAAGAAGAAGAAGAATACAGCTTTTTTGGTGGTTTTTGCACTCTTCAATTGCTTATATTTCTGCAACAGCTTTATGGAAAATCTTGAAACTTTGCACACTACCTAAGAAAACAATTTTCTTTCAAACAAGATATTCAGAATTACTTCAGCTGTTTGGGGACAGAGAAATTGACTCCTGAAAATCAACAACTATGATTCCAATATATATAGTCAGTCAGTGACTTTTTTACTTGGCCGGGAGTCATTGCCGTGTCTCCTGATAATTCTATTATTGAACAGAATTCCTTTTATATTTAAAATAGAATATTTTTTCATTTAGAAGTTACTCTGGCACATAATTAAAGGCTTTAACAAAGTAGGTTTCAAAATAAAAAGTTATGTCAATGGTTTGTATGATAAAGTACATCGATAAATTTATTTAGTTTCGAAATGCAAAATTAGAGAAGAAATTTGGAGATATTTCTTAAAATAAAAATATATTTAGTTTTTTATATTCACACACACTTTTACATTATTACATAAACTGCAAACAGGAGTGTAGATTAAACATTTTTATAAATTAAAATTAGACAAAGAGAAAAAACCATTCTCACAAACTTTACATGTTATGTATGTAAAGTAAACCTTCAAAAATATTTGCAACAGATAACTTTCTTCATTTAGGAATTTTCTTATGCATNATAAATATTTAATAAAAATTTTCAAATGTAAATAAATAGATACCAAATATTTCCAGATTATAATAGGCTAATTATACTATTTTTAATGATCTGTAAATTTATAAACTACAAAATTGGCATGTTGCCATTTTTTTAGAGATCAAAACACACCAACACTATAACAGATAGAATAATTTTAATTAAATATTGATATTCCCTAAAATATCAAATAATTAATTAAAATTAATGTAAATTCACTAATTAAAATATCTAACAGATAATGATATACCTTGCTTTAGTTTATGACTTTATGAATCATTAAATTAATATGATTATTATTCTGCTAAAAATTAGTTATTTGTTTCAATTAATGTTAAAAACAACTTTTATATACAGTACATACAGTATATACAGTACAAGCTTATTTACCTCTGTTAAGATTATATCAATGTAATCTATAATAGAAATTTTTTTATTCCATTAAATCAAATATTGGAGCTAGATGCCATAAATTATTTAATAAGTTTTTGGAAGCTAATCTTTGATTTCACAGACAGATTTTGAAAACAATAAACCAAATCATATTTTTGTTAGCTATCTGTCAGAATTAAAATGCAATATTTGAGAGTATCAGACTATAACTGTTAAGACCAGTATATACTATGTGAGAAAGAAAAAGAGAAAAGTATCATCACTTCTTTTTATTATTCTCTTACCATAAGCATTCATATTTTAAATGAATAAAATGAAAGAATTATGCATGCACTTTCATTACTTGCAGTTTAAAATAAAACTTTAAAAGCATAGTGAAAGTGAAAACTGACTTTTAAAATTCTTAAAAAGTTAGAATATACAAAGTTAATTAATTTGAGAAGAAAGAAAGAATAAAAACTTATAAAAGAAATTAAGAAAGATGATCCTAAATTTTAAATATTTTAGGTAACTTTTAAATATATAGGCCTACGTAAAGATAATATTTGGATATGTTTAACTTAAAATATATAAATGATAAATTACAATTCATCAATAATAATTCTTCTCTAATTCTAATAATTTCAGTTTTATCAGTCTCCATAGTGAAAGACATGAAGGATTGTGGACTATCAACAGATAGAAAAGTATGTCTGTCTTTTTAACCAAAAGAAAATGTCACTAGTATTGTTTGAATTGGTGCACTCTAAACCTATTTAGTGTCATTTTCTCTTCTCTTTTCCATTCTCACAAAGTATGAACTGGCCTTTAGCATGTATAATGTCTGCTAGACAAGCACCTCATCACCTATTGTTTTACATCTACTATTGTTGATTTGTGGTTTCTTGTATTTAGTTTACTTGCAATTACTTTATTTTTTTTAAATATTTTGATATTTTTAAAAACAAGTCGTTCATTAATGCATATTTAAGATGTTTCAGAACAGCTGATTCTTTTCTATTAATGGAATGCCAGTTGTAACTTTAATTTGATGCATGTACCACTGTCTGTGTCGCTCTACTAAGACTATCGCATTTAGCTATTTAGTTCACGCAACTGTGCCAGCTTCTAGGAGTCCATTTGACTGTTTATGAAGTAGTTGGACTTGCCCCACCCAGGTGCTGAGGTGCGAGTGGTAGCAAGCAATGAATCACATGACTACATATGAAGCATGTAGGATAGGCAGTATACTGATACTGATACATGTTAAAAACTGATCTTTGGAAGCAAATATCTCATAAAGGGTCAACAATTCTGGGGGTGGTGCAAAACCCCTCATTCAGAGCTTGAATCTTACCCGTTGCTGTACATATCAGCTGGTGTCTCATTAACAGAAAAGTACCAAACAGCTTGTTTTTTTGTTCTAAATTAGTCTTTCAAAATTGTCCATTCTATGTAGTTTGAAAACTTGTTTTAATAAACATGTTGACTTCAAAAATAAAGTGAAAATTAGTTTAGTAATGATATAAATAAACATCAGCTAACCCGATAAACATTAAAGCAACCAAAGCCAAATTAATGGGCTAGAAGCATCTATAATAATAATAATAATTTAAGATAATTTGGTATTAGAGTTAGGCAGTAGGTGCCATCGCATGCTAAATTTAATAATTATAATTTTAATTAAATAATTTATCAATAAATAAATTTAGAACTAACTGGAAGAAAAGAATCGGCCCAGAGCAGGACTCAAGCCCACAACTCCTGCTTACCGTGCAGATGCATAGCCAATTATGCTACCTGGATCCCCGGTTAGCATAATTGGCGCTAACACCTAACTCTAATACCTAATGCTTCTAGCCCATTAATTTGGCTTTGGTTGCTTTGATTAGTACTGATTAATAAATCAAAGAAATTGGCTTGATATTCTTTAAATGATAATGTTTAGCCTCAATTACCAAATTATATATTANAAGATAATTTGGTATTAGAGTTAGGCAGTAGGTGCCATCGCATGCTAAATTTAATAATTATAATTTTAATTAAATAATTTATCAATAAATAAATTTAGAACTAACTGGAAGAAAAGAATCGGCCCAGAGCAGGACTCAAGC